TCGCGTCCAAGTAGCTTATCGCGTACCCAGCCGCCTGCAATGCGAAGTACGACACCGTTGGCTGCGGGCTGTGCTGCTACATCTGAGAGAAATGCAAAGAGCTTTTCTTCTGCCAAAGTAAGCTTGACAGTTCTCTGTAAAGTATTTCGCATGACTCGAGTAGGCTCTTCGATACGCAACTTCTTGTCAAGACTAAAGGAAGGCGCCGCTAAGCGCTTCATTATACTGGTATCTGACAACAAAGCGCGTTTTAACCAATGAGATCAAAATTATACATAAAATGGTGAACGACGACATTGCTGCAAATGAAATCACGAGGCAGATAGCGGCACTGAAGCCGCGCATAGAGGGATCCAGGGGTGTTATGGGGTATCTGGTACGTACATAAGGTAAATCCATTCAATTACATTATTTGATCTGACGTGTGTTTGCAGGACAAGCCTCAAAACGACAAGCGGGCTGATGTAAATAAAACATTTCTGGCCACCACCATCCGGAGGTTCGTCTTATTGTTGCAATGTATACATCTTAAGCTCAGATCAGACTCTTTTTTTTATTTCACCCGTAGTATCGACTCGCACAACCGGCGGCAGGAGGAGAACAAGTGCTGGACACTGCGGCGAATGGAGCACAAGCTAGATGAGGGAAGCAATTGGCAAAGGTCAAGCCTAAGAAGCAACATTTACAGATCAGACGAGAAAAAGCGAAAAGGCAGTGTTAGAAGAAGTCGGAGTCGGAGTCGGAGTCGCAGTCATTTGAGACAATCTAGACGAAGTCGAAGCAGAAACAGGCGACGATGTAGTCGAGGACAGAGCGAAAGGAAGGACGAAGATAAACGTAGCTATTGGGCTCGAAAAAAGGCCGACAAAACTCAAAAGATTTGGAAGGTTTTACAATCAAAAGGCACAATATCTGTGGAGAATGCACCTGATATCGACTCCGACGACGACGACATTAAGCCTGACAGAAATCTTTCTATTACTTCGTTAAACTGCAAGGAATGTTCGAAATGACGAAAAATCAAGGCTTCAGTCAAGATAGAAATATTTACATCGTTCAATACGATAATAAATTAAAGATGACGAACACTGATTTACATTGCAAAGAAGCACATACATTGGGTGCTTTATTTTTAAAAACATACGCATTGACAGCTCGCTTATTTCCACGTAGATGCGGCCTGGTAAGTGGCAAATATCATGATGAGGATGCCAACTGCAATAACAGCGTTGTTCAAAGCGTGACCGTCAGTCACAAGTTTTGAGTGAAACAAACAAGGATATATAAAAGCAAGTGGTACGGAGCAGAACCCACCAATCAGCGCCACAAAGTTATCCAGCTCTTCTTTGCCATAATAAGCAATGGCAGCTGTAAGACACACTAGTGCAAACCGAAACCCATTCTTTTCCCAGCGCCAATAGCCTTTTCGACTGTGATAAGGGAAGATGTAACATTCAAGAATTTTTACCACTGGGTATAACATCAGCGGGTACGTCAGTATGAGCGCAAGCGAGTACGTAATCTGCACAGACATGGTGGCGATGCTGTCTTGGGCGCTCGGTAGATTGAGAGTTACAACAGATTGTGTGTTCTCACCAAAGGCAGCATACACAAGCCCAGCGAACACTGAGAAAAGCATCACGAGAAATAGCATGGTGTAAGATAGGATGCGTGGGAATTTCTGTTTTATGTCGTCATCCATAGCGTCGTATATTGGAAGTACTAATCCAATGCCTTCAAAGCAGTAGACAGCTGTTCCTAGAAGTAGGGCCCAGCTTGTCGAGTTAAAGTTTGTACACGTCACACTTCCGACTTTCGCTTCTTTTAACATTTGAATTGTGTACGAGAGGATATAGACGATTCCAAACAAGATTAGGAGATCTGCGAACAGATTCGTGAGCGCAAAGTATTCGATGCGACGCACCCATGACAATGGCGTGTACAACAAAATTTGAAGCATGATAAGCGTCAACGATGAAGACGCAATGGTTCTTTGAATTCCAAAGGCGGCTAAAATGACCTCACCGATGTTTTTCTCCACGAAAATTAAGTACGAGCAGCAAAAGCCCGTTTGCGAGAGCACTAATGAAATATTCACAGCTATACGACCCAACTTGCCGCAGGCTTTTTCTCCTATAAGGCCATATGACACGTTTGAGCGCCCATTTTGCAGCAACATATTGGAGCACTTTGCTAATCGAAGCATGCAAAACGTCGATAGCACTGCAGAAATACACAGTGCTGCAAGTGAAAAGAGCATGCCTCCGTTCTCGAATCCCTTTGGAAGGAATAAAATTCCACTTCCGATAAATGACTTTAAGATTGTAAATACTGTTTTTCCAATAGTGGCACCACGCTGCTGTTTTTCAGGTATTCGCTTCCAAGATCGACGAAGTAATGGCGTTGCCGACTCCTATTAAGCAGCAAAAATCTAGTCAATTAGCTTAAAAGCACATTCGCTAATCATTGCCACGTACAGCTAAATCATCATCATCATCTGCTAGTCCAAGATTGGCCACGATAAAGTCTCCATAAGCAGACTGCAAAATTCCGGGTGTTGGTTGGATCGAATCAAGGAATGAGTCTTGTACGTAGGGTGGGACGTGTGGGCTGTTGCCTCTCATATTTGTAATCACGTGATCACGACGAAATCCACCAGGCTGAGCGATGTCGGACGCTTTACCTGACATTCATTATATGTACGCATTAGCACAAGTGTTATAGTGACAGACGAAAAGATTAACGCACCTATAGTTTTGTGCAAAATTTCACTTTGGTCTGGCAACGACTTTGGACGTGACGGATTATCTTGAGTTTCCTTGAGAATGGCAAAAAATATATCACGAGTCATATCCGATCCTTCTTCGGTAATATCATGGACGTCGGCGGGCCGTAGTGCGTCTTCATCCAGGCCAGACGGAACCATCGTCATGTATTTTATGCAGTGATTCGATGAAACATCACGATGATCAAATCTAAAAATATTTCTTTAATCAAGATATCTCTATTGTCCTTAGTTAAAATTCATAAAAAAATAATTTTTAAGCGGCTTTCAAAACAATTAAACCAGAAAAAACAATTACTTTAGAGTGGAGTCCTCGTATATCACTCGCTTTTATTATACTCAGCGTAGTAATTGGAAAATTATGATAGAGTTTTAATTTGTATTGTGGATATGCAGAGAATTACATGGTAGGTGGAACAGTGCATAGTTTGATATTAACACATCATATTTTTCAGAGCTGCCACACAGGTATGATCGCTGCTCATGCAAGTTTGGGTCTGAGCATACTAGTTTGAGCTATGTTAATAATTGCGGCTTCCTGAGATATGTTTTCACATAAGATTTGGTGTCACTACGATTTTATGTGCAAACTTACATTTGAAGCCAGTGTTTACTGCATATTTGGATTATGAACGCACCCATTGCAGCGGGGCTGCCGTAGCTTTGTGCTTAGAGGAGGCGTAATTTAGGTCACCGACCTTACATTCTTCACAAGAACCTAGTATGAGTTAGCTGATCGCATACTTCAAGAATGATTATTGCCTTCCCAAGGATAATTGACTCTTCGGTTTGAATATATATAAAATCTAAATATGCAAAACTACTGGCTACCTAGCCACCTACCGTATTCTTGTTTGGGTGCAGTCACACCATGCACATCTCGTGTGACACATACCCCTGTTACCAGGGTACGTGTAACCCCGTTACACCCTCCCCCATTTAGATTGAGAAATATTCACAGTTCCAATCGATTATTGCCTCAACGAGGCTCGCGTGTCCATTAGACACTGCAACTCAATTTGTTGG